TTCCCTACCTAGGGAGCTAGTAAGCACAGAGGATAACTCTTCTCAGCGGCTTCATCTGAACACATGCAGCATCTGTTCACAGGGCTGCAGCATTATTGACACAAAGTCAGATCTTGTAAGATGCTAAGTTCAGTCAGGCACTTAAGACATGAGTACTCCCAGCGAAGTCACATCCACAGTGACTGTTGTAGAAATAGTGGTGATAAGGAAGTGAGGAGGTAATGACTTTGCTGCCTCTTTGTCATGATGGGTATGTCCGCAGTCTCTCTTTGGGGTTTGGAGTAAAGTGGTCAGAGGCTGATAGGCTACTGACATGTCTTTGGGTCAGCCCCAGCCTTTGAGGAAATATACTTATGGTTTGTCAGATGTTATCACATTTGATAAAAGACAAAGCTTTGTTTTACCTGTGAAAAGGATGTTAGATTGTTCATTAATGGCAAAAAAAGGAAATTTCAAAGTTTCATTTCCTAACTTTCTGTTCATACTGGTGATAGGCATCTATCTTCTCCTCAGGTTACTGAGCTGGAAGTTTCAAAGTTTTATTTCCTAACTTTCTGTTCATGCTGGTGATAGGTATCTATCTTCTCCTCAGGTTACTGCACTGGAAGTGGGAAACCCGAGCTTTCCCTGCTTACAGAAATGGACTGTAGTGATTCCTTATGGCATTTCCCTATGAGCAGGGAACACATTGCCCATTGTCTCACAGGATCAACAGGCAGGACAACGGGGAACATGCTTCACCCAATGAAGTGGATCAGCTGTGTTGGACATCCTGGCACAGCTGATCTGCTTCATTTGGCAATGTCTATGTATACCCTTAGGGTAGGGACAGACATTCAAAAAGTCTGAGCCTGAATTGATTCAATCTTTATAGTATACCCTGAAGAGCTTGAACTCATTTGCAAGTGGATAGACATTCACTTTTAAATCAAGAAATGCAGGCACATGCCTGCAGTGGCTCAGGGTAGAAGCCAGGGGGCACTAGAGCAGCCCTTCCTTCCCTTCGACAGTGCTGAGCTGAGGTGGGGTATGGCTAGGCCTGGGCAGGATGCTCTCATTAGGGAGGGGTTTAAAACCTTACCCTGCCTGCACAGTCTTAGGTTTTTCCTGGCTTCCTCCTCAAGGGGCAGGGAGTATTACCAGACCCTGGCCCCTAGCTAGCACTCTGAGGCAAAGGATGGTTGAGTGGGGGAGGACACCTTGTGTGGAATGCATGCATCGGTTGATGATACTGAACTTTTCAATCTCCCTCTCTCTGCTTCTTCATACCGTCTGCAGCAAACCTGACAGGCAAGCAAGCCAGCAGGGAGCTGATAACACAAAGCTTATCACAGCCCATCAAGAAAACAAAATTATCTCTCATTAGTTCAAGCTCTTCTTAAACAGCTTTTTCCAAGGAAGAAAGGGAGGGACATTACCAGCTGACCTGTTGATTAGCTTCAAAAAGCCCTAAGTTGATACTGTTCTGTCTGCCTTTGTCCCAGTGAAATTGGAGACACACACATAGACACCTCTCAACATTACCTAGCATGGTAGTGGCATAATTATGACCAGATACACGGTAAGGTCCATGCTGTGGGAGAGGAGAGGGAGGGATGGGAGGATCCCTGTTTGAGCAGTAAATGGCGCGGGGACGGGGATCATCAGGGGGAGATGCAGACTGTGTAGGCAGGGCGGGGGTTGGGACCCCTCCCTAATCAGAGCATCCTGCCACGGCCTGGCCATGCCCCCACCTCCCCCACTCAGCACTGTGGAAGAGAGGGATGGCTTCTCTAGCACCTCCCACCAGCTTCTAGCCTGAGCCATTGCAGAGGTAGAAGATAATGTGTCCTCATCACATGAGTAAACTGAGTTACCCAAACACCATAAACTGACCAATGCAAAGGACTGAGCTGGCAACAAGCAAGAGTGAGAGTCATGATTCCCTATCTTATTCTTTAACTACACCCTGGCTGCATCTACACAAGATGCTGACTGCACAGTAGCTTACTACTACTGTGCAGTAGTGTCGCATGGCATGAAGTGTGACACAATGCTACTGTACAGTAGTAATGAGCTGCTGTGCAGTAAGCCTCATCTAAAAGCCATTCAGTGACACTACTGTGCAGTAACTTTGGTTACTGCACAGTCATTTAGTACTTGTTTGTACAAGTACTAAATCACTATGCAGTAATGACTGCACAGTCAGTGTCTCAAGTAGATCCGGCCACTGTATAAGGCAGTGGTTCCCATCCTTGGGTCATGACCCAAATGAGGGTTGCGGGGGCAATGCCAGCAGTACCACACACAAAGGATGAGCCATGCTGCATGCCGGGAACTCCCCTGATGCTACCTCTGGGCTGCCGCTGCAGTACTCTGCTCCCAGCAGTGGGTCATGGCAAAAAAAGGTTGGGAACCACTGGTGTAAGGACTGGGGCATATGTGGTCTGGCCTAGTGTGTGGGCCAACAGAGAAAGCACCAGAGACAGAAGCTAGAGTCCAAGGCACCCAAACAAAGAAGGAATTCTAGGAGCAGAGTCCAAGTTACAGGCTGAGTCCAGGTTTGGCCTCAGAAAAGAGCTGCCTGCTTGACAGAAAAAGGCAAAATCCAATAAACTTGTCAGCCAGTAATGAAAAATGGTAGTGCCACAGGTAAGATGGACAGACAGCTTTCATGTACAAACCATTTTTATATTGGGTTAAGCACTCAACCTTAAGTCAGCAGATAATTCAGCATAAAAATATTCTTTGTGTCTGTTTTTTTTTTGGCAGGGGTGAAATTTCCTGGATGACAGAAAAAGGCAAAATCCAATAAACTTGTCAGCCAGTAATGAAAAATGGTAGTGCCACAGGTAAGATGGACAGACAGCTTTCATGTACAAACCATTTTTATATTGGGTTAAGCACTCAACCTTAAGTCAGCAGATAATTCAGCATAAAAATATTCTTTGTGTCTGTTTTTTTTTTGGCAGGGGGGAAATTTCCTGGAGTTTTAATTTAGTACTTTTTTTTAAAGGATAGCTTTCAAAACACACAAGTTCAGCTTTGTTTTTCAATGTGAATATAAATATATTTCACAGGAAATGCATTTTAAAATATTTCTAAGAAAAAATGGCATGTTTGATAAGTCTCCTCAATTTGAACTTTGCCATCAGGAACAACTAGGTTGTACATGCCTTTAAAAAAGACTATTTTGGAATGTTATAATTAACTGGGGAAAAAAAAATATTTATTTCAGGGATGAAACTGGGCAGAATTCACATTCTGTTAACCAAAACACACTAATGTTTCACTGTTTTACTCACCCCATCAGTAGATGTCGTTTCTTATTGCCTTAAATCTTTACATGATTTTTAGCCAAAAAGCAATTGCAATTGGTAGAAATGGAAATTTGGCTGAAATCCAATATTGCATTTTCATAAATCCCCATTAAATTATTATTTTTTCTACAAATTGATTTCATGTGACATTTTAGGTAGTTAACTCTTCAAGAACAAGGAACGATGTTAGGTCAAATCAACATAGAAACTTTTCTTGACTCCAGCATGGAACTGTTTGTGTGGGTAAGATGGATAGAATGTGGCCTGTTCAATAAATTAAGTAGAGCGGTTGCCAAATCATAGTTTTCAAGCTTATCTGTTGATGCCCAAACCTGCTGAAACTTTAACAATAATGAAAATCTTTATACATTTTTCAGCTGTTTAAAAATGGCTGTAAATCCCAGGCTTCAATAAATAAAATAAAGCTGGGAAACTCAAAATTACTCACAGGCCTAAAACATTTCTAAAAGAGTTTGTAAGTACACAGAGAAAAGGGTGCCCCAACTTTCATAAATAATGTAAAGAGTTAGGGAAGAAGGGAAAGGAATTTCAAAAAGTAAAAGTAACAATTCCTTCCCCCACCTCCCAGCGTGCCATCAAACTTGAAACCAACTGTTTTTAAATGGTGCATAATCCTTCCCTGGGATAAATTTATGTCAGGTTGCAACTAGGAATGAGTTAATGATGAAGTGAAAATCCCTGACTATAAAGGACATTACTTGGCAAGCAGGAAGCTTATGATTGTTCTGGCTCTACATTTTGGCTTGTTTGAGAGAACACCACAATTTTTGAGGTTGTTTCAAATCAACACATTCTTTTAAGAAGAGACAGCTTCTACCCATTCTGAGTTATTCTTTCCTATTTCTTTATTAGGCTTATTTATTTATCATGCAAATTTTAAACCAATGGGAAATGGTATGTCTGTAAGGGGGATGGTGGAGTCCTCATGTTGTTGAGGCTGCAAATGGATTGGCACTGCATTTGCAAGCAGCAGCTGCATCTCTCGCTCTCTTTGGGAGTACTTCATTTCATAGTATTTCCAGTCATGATGTAAGTAACAGCCCCTGGGCATACAAATTGAATATTGACTAAAAAAAGTTCTTTGTTTTTCAAATAAAAGATAGAATTTGGCTGTGTTCCACATCTCTGGATATATGAATACTGCTCTGTTAAGGAAGCCCCACTCCCACTCCACACACACCTAACCCAGAAACGAGGCACTGTAACCATGCTGAGAGTGTCCTTCGTCACCACTCTTGAGACTTTTTCTGGTGCATTCAAAAGCAATGTCAGGGGATGCTTCTAGTTCACCACCACATTTCAAGGTGCGGTGTGTGTAGAATAGGAGCACTGGGGGAGTAGGTGTAGATAACAAAGGGCATGCCTATTAATTTATAACCTGGCCACGCTCACTACTGTGGTGTCAAGAGACCTTTTTTTCCTTTTATTCTCACCTGTCAACTAAGCAGCAACAATGGAGCAGCACAAAATCTGTGCCACTCATTCTGTTTCCAGAGTTTATTTTTTACCAAGTGTTTGACTATGATGCTATGGTTTGTACCTGGAGTGTCACACATGATTGTCAAGTCCTTTGCAAAAATGTAATATGGAAATCTGATCACTTGATTTCTGCCTCCTAATCTGAGAATGTTCTGTGAGAATTGTCTCTACTTGTCTCTATTTTCTTTCCTCAAAGTTTGCTAATTGACCTAGCAACATTTCTTTCTAACCTTCTTCCCCTGTATCTTTCTAGGTCTACATGGAAAAGCTTCTCACCATAAATATGCTATACAGATGAGATTTGAAGGCAGGAACATGTGATGCCACAGGCAGGGTGGATTGTTAGAAAATTGTCTGCTGCACTCAGAGCTATCACCAATGAGGGTGAGTTCTGTTGCTCTTGATCATTTCATTTGTCTTGGAAAGTTCCTGTGGCCTTGAGTTCTTATGAGTCCAGGACATCAGGGAGCAGTTTAGAATAAAGATCAAAACTGTGAATTTAATCAAGAATTATTCTGTTGAGTACATGTAATGTTTATACTCTATACTCATCCCTGTACTAACTGAGACAGTTTTTCTCTATGAAAGAAGCTAGAGTAGGTAAAGAGGCTTCAGGTAGCTTCAAACTTCTTCCTTTAGGAGGAGTGTATGGCAGCTTCTAGGACAGGGGTCTAGTTCTACCCAGTGAATATCTGAAATGTTTTAAATGGACTATTTTTCAAATAAACTAGAGTTCTGGAAGCCAGTATTCCCCTATCACTAGACTAACATGGGCTGGTGGATGTTAGCTGTTGTACAGAGCTTTACATATGGTAACTCATTACTCGGTATAATTTCCTCATGAGACAAGTACGCAACATTGCCACTGCATAAAAGAGAAAGAAAAGAAACTTTAGGTGAACTGATAAGGGCCCCAGAGGGAGTCAGTACTGGAGCTGGGGTTAGCATACAGTGATCACTTGCTTTTAATTTTGTGTTTAGTCCACTAGACCAGAGGTTCCCAAACTCTGATAGATTGCACACCACCAGTTTAAAATGGTACAACCTTAAGTACCACCAGCAAATTTTTGTCATATCAAGTAATTATAATAAATCTGTTAACTCATGCCACTGACAAGTCATCTGCGTATCACTGTGTTATGCATAGCACAGATTGGGAACCGCTGCACTAGATCAATCTACCTTCTTGTGTATCCAGAAATTAGGCACGCCTCAGAAGAAAAGCTGTCTGAAGAGCCATTGCCACAAAATAGATGACAAGGTTACTTAAGGAACCCGCAGCCAGCAGGATTTTTAGCTATTAAAAAGGCTGGCTCTGGGTGATCATAAATAATCAATCCCAAATCTTTGTCCCTACTTTTCCTTTGTTTTAACTTTTCAAAACAGCAGTTAGGCTACATTTTTATTGATAGCCTTTTAATGATAGTTACAAGGGATGTCATTTGGACAGAAGCTGAAATTAGTCCTGACACCTGAAGGAGGCTGAGGAAGGATTCTGTTGCCACAGGCTACAACAGGCCCAAAAGGTGGTTTTGGTTTGAAAGGCCTGGGATTCCTGCAGTTTTTAGCTGTGTCAAACAGATCGCGAGACAATAGATACTAAAGCTGTCAGCTGAACAAGACTGCCAGGTGCTAGTGCTGGACTTTGCAGCAGCTATTCTTCCTTTCCTGGTTTTCTCTTTTTATGAATAGAAGGTATATATATACTGCAGGCTTACCTTATGCCCTTACCTGTGGTTCCACCCAGTCCCCTCCTTACCATCATCACTCAAAACACTTATGCCATGACTTATATAATGCTTTGAACTTGTTTCCAAAGAGGATAGGTCCTAGAACGTGCCTTTTACTTTAATGCTGGCTGTGACCCACCCATGATGAGGTTGCAACCCAGGTAGCTAAGCAAGTGCTCTGATAGCCCTCTAATGCTGCCCTATAATTCTTTGGCTTTGGATGTTCCAAGACTGCAACGTGGGCAGCCTGCATTACCCGCTTGCCTCTTGTGCACTGGCACAACATGCCGCTTTTTCTATATACTTGCTTAGTGTATAATTCTTCCTTTCAAACAGCTTGCTCCATTTTCTGCACAGCACAGACAAACAGCTTTATAAGACTTTAAATGTATAGTAGCAGATGGCCAGGGGAGCATGGTGGATTTACTTCTGGTGTGAATACAGCAAGGAACATGGTTTGGGGAGAAGTATCTGAAATTTGCCCTGCTCTGAAAACATCTTGAAGAGGACAGCAGTGGTGGAGATCAAACAGATGGCTGTCCTGGGTCAGGAATACTTAAAAAATGTAAAGGGAAATCTCCATCTATAAAATAACTGCAAATCTGGCAACTCCTTGTCCACCTGCCTTGACTCTGAAGAGTTCACCTGGGTTCTCACTCTCTGTAGAGAGCTCACTGTCCTAGCTGGCCTCTTGTTGTACAGAAATGGTCTCTTTTTAGAATGGTAACAGAAGACAGAGCCAGTACCATAAGACACCCATGACAGCACAGGGGATGGTGTCATTGGAACAGATTGCAGAATAAACCATGGTACTGGAAAGGGGCAGACCAGGCTCCAGGGCCAGACTAATCCTGCGGCCATATTCCAAAGATTTATTTCTGGATGAACCTGAGGAACAGCCTGGACAGGAAGAGGCACTGGTGCTGCAGCTGGGTAAGTGGCAGCCAATGTCTTTATTACAGGAGAAATTTCAACTTACATTTGTAAGTTAAGATGTCCTGTATGGTCTGGCTTTAATTTTAGTCGTAGTAGAAACAATGCTTTTCCCCTGATTTTCCTTTCTGTACACCTTGTCACCATTGGCATTCATCTTGAATCACCACTGGAATAAAAAAGGAGGTAAAAATGCAAACATGTAAGTAGCAATTCATTCTTACTAAGTTTGCACTCACTAGAAAACAAAAACTGGGATTACAGGTTTAGCAAGCTTGAGTACATATACTGCTCTCCTGGTAGCTGTCCCAACAGTGAGTTATAGGATTAGTATTAAAGCATAGCTCCAGACAGCTTGGAATAGATGGCCCAGTGGCTGTATTAAGTGAAAAGGCCCTGGGGGACAGTGTTTGTTTGGCAGCCTGGTCCTCCAGCATACTGCCTACAGGAGAAGTGGAAGCAAGACGTGGGGGCACTTCTACAGTAAGCAAAACTGTGAATCTTAGTTCTTCAGTCTGTTAATGTTGCTCTAATTTTCCCCATTTCTGGTGAAAGTTTGAGGATTTTTTGGAGAGGGCCCATGAGACACTTGTGTTAACTCCCATGGCTCTCTGATGCGGCTTGCCATGCTTAGTGGGCCCAATGTACGCCCCCCACCCCCGACTTCTACATACAAACATAAGACTGTAAGGTGCCTCCTGAGCCTTTGAGTCCAGTTCCCTTCATTTCTAGGCAGCCAATTACCTAAGATTCCCCAAAATGACCACTTCAAACCTTCCCATGCAACTATCAGACATAAAATCAGAAACTTCAAGAACACCCTAGAGAGTGTCATACGTAAAATCAGTGAAGACGGGTACAAATGTACTACCAGTTGATGACAGAAATAAGTGGTTAATGCTCAGGGGATCCTCAGTAAAGGAACATGCCCCCTGCTACACAAGGCAACCCCCCCATCCTTGTTATCCTTGCCAGTCTGACAGAAGGAGGGAAAAAGTCCTTACTGCTTCAAATTTGACAACCTATTTGAATTTGAGTGAAAGAGCAAGACCTTCATGTCTACAATCTCTGGGTTGTTTAAGTACCAGTGGGAGCATCAGTGCAGCCCTGTCAGAAACAGCCAGATTTAGCTGTGGCTAACATCCCATTACTTTAGGAGAAGGTGAGTGGGGAGAAAGTTGGTACTTCTTCCACTCTTGGATTGCTAGACTAACATCTTCTAAGGCTTCTCCATGTCAGTAGATGGGAATAAAGACCCTACTTATCTCACCGCTTAAATACTGGAGCTCCTCAGCACCCTGGAAATGTGTATTCTAGCAAGCTGGACCAAAAGGTAAAGTGCTCCTTGTCATGACCAGATTATAGGCACATGAGTGCTCTTAGTGTCTTCAATGCAGTTCATGAACCCCATTCTCTTAAAGCCAGCATTTATTTCAGGCAAACTAGTTATGTCCACAGCTTGCAGGTAAACCATGTTATCACAACACAAAACTCCATTATCACAACACTGACAATTCACTCACCAAAACCAACTTGATTATCCACAAACTTGCAGTGGTATGGGGTAGCAAATGTCCAGATGGATAAAGTGACCTTCCTTACTTGTGTGTACTGGTCCCGGAGGTTTCGGACAAACTCCGATTACCACTCTGAGGAGGTTTGGTTCTAGATATGGAGTTCTGGGCTAGGGACAGACATTCAGAAAGTTGGAACCTGAATTGATTCAAGCTTTGCAGCTTAGTCAAACCTGCATAGATTGAACCAATTTGCAAGTGAATAGACATTCACTTTTGATTCCAGAAATGCAAGGCACCATGCCTGCAGTGGCTCAGGCCAGAAGCTGGGGGTGCTAGGGAGAGCCCTTGGCTGGAGGGAAACTAAGCTGAGGGAAGGGGCATGGCCAGGCCCAGGCAGGCCTGAGTATGATTGCGGAGGGGTTTAACCCCCAACCCTGGCCTGCAGGGACCTAGCTGAGGTCTGCCTAGAGGGTGAGGGGGAAAGCAGCCCCTGTTAGGGGTCTGCAGACCCCGCCCCCTGCTTATTCACTGGCTGGCAGCAGGAGAGGGGGTTGGGCCAGACCCTGGTAGCCTGAAGAGAGGCAGGGGTTTAACCCCTCCATTGCAGGGTTGGGGGTGGGGGGTGGAGGGCAACACAGGCACTGATACGCTCTGCTCGTGCACCTGGGGCCGTGCACCCACAGCTGTGGTGGCCAGATGCCAGTAGCATGAGGGGAAGGGGGTGGTGGGGATTAATCTCCACATTGCAGGCAGCAGCAGTGCAGGCACCGGCATGGCACCCTGGGCCGAGTTCCTCCAAGAATCAGCCAACTGGCTGTGGGGAGGGGGGATGTAACCTGGCTGCAGGGGGTTGGGGGGAGCCAGGGCTAGTTACAGAGCCTAACTCATTGCTGCCTCCCACTATGGCAGCCTGGCCTGGGCTGGGGTGGCCCCAGGGGGTGGGGGTCAGCACCCTCTGCCTCCCACCTCCTGACCTGCATGCAGGCCACAGTTTGCAGGCTGGCTGCAGCTGCAGCATGGCTCCCTACCCTGCTCCCTCTCCCTCTCCCTCTTCCTCTCCCGGTGGTGGCAATGGAGCAAACTATCATGGTGGGTGGAGGTAAAGCACCTGTCACCTGCTACCTGCTTGTGGCAGTGTGAGGTGCTTGGGGTGGCCTGCTGCAGGCCAGGGGTGTGGGCAGTGGTGGGGGCAGGCAATGGACCACCACAGCCTGGTCTGGCCTGGGCCCACGACAGCCTGCCCCTCCCTCTTCCGGTGTCAGCTGCATGAACCATTGCAGTGGGCAGAGGTGAGACATCTGTCACCCGCCACCTGCTCGCGGAGGTGCTGGGTGTTTGGGGAGAACTGCTGCTGGCCAGGGGTGTGGGCAGCAGTAGGGGGAGGCAATGGACCACTGCAGCCCAGTTTGGCCCAGCCCTGCAGCCAAGGGGTGTGGGCAGTGACTGGCCCACAGCAGCCTGCCTCGAGCACCTGGCACCACTGTGAGCTGGCAGCTGATGACAGGTGCTTCACCTCCACCTGCCATAATAGTTCATTCCACTGCCGCTGCTGGGAGAGAGGGGGCAAGAGCTGCTGCCCCCTTACCAGGCAGACCCGGCAGCACTCTGGAGCAGGGTTTCCCCAACCCTACCTCTTTTTCAGCCAGCCAGAGCAGTGATAGTGCTCTGACTAGGGAGGAGAGGGGTAGGGGCAACCCTGCTTGGCTGGAACAGGCAGCCCAGTGCAGCCCAGGGCTGCAGAGCATGCTGGGGAGCTCTTATTTAACTTAAAGCAGGAAGGGGTCTGGGACAAAAGTTCCAGAAACTGGTTTGACCACAATCAGTTAAGTATGTTACTACATTCAACCAGGTTTATTTCAAACCAGTGTTGGCCATTTTGAAACTGGTTTATGTGCACTGAATTTACATTATGTTATGTTTAAACCAGTTTCTGATCACTTACACCAGTTTATTTACCTAGTTTCCCAAACAGATTTTCTCAGTTTAGAGCTGCTAGGAATTGCAATGCAGATATGCCCAAAGTCACTGAGGTGCTGAGAGCCCTGGTGTTAATTCTCCTATAAATCTCAACTGCTAAACCCACATAACTGCCTGATCACATGGGTACAAGTCATGGATGGCTCTATGGTGTGGGCATTTACAGATGGGTATGGAAAGCCCAGGTGTTCTATGTCACAACACTAGACCTCAGAGGCAACTTTCTGTGTCTACATGCTTAGGTTGCCTGCAAAAGGCCTTATGTTTATACCACACTAATTAATCCTATGAATTATGGATGGTGCATACAAAAGGAAGAAGGGGAATGGTGATGATAATGAGAGAATGGATATTCCCATAGAACGTTCTCTTAGAGTCATGCATTTGGAATGGAAAGAAATGAACCAGCTGAAATGGGTGTTAGGGAGAGAATGCAATTTGTCTTACTAATAAAAAGAGAGTCCCCCACAAAAGAAATTCTAATTTAGGTCTGGTGCTGTAGTATTAAATGGTAATAGATACCAGAATGGTGAAAACCCATAGTTCTTCACTTACACTGGAGCAGACACTCCGTGAGCCTCAAAATTAAAGAAATCACAGAGAAGAAATGTATTGAGCCCACCAGTGCTTCACTTTCGGACAGAAACTCAGAGGCCCACACAACGCTTTGGGTTCACAACCTGCTCATTACACACAAGCTGCTGAGGCACAAAAGAAAAAAATATGGAATGCTTCACAAATTTGTGTCATCCTTGCACAGGGGCCATGCTAATCTTCTCTGTATCATTCCAATTTTAGTAGAGACAGTGTTAGTATTTGAGAAGAAAAACAACACTGCTACACTGGTATCACGCACAAGTAAACTTGGTGCTAACCTGGGCATGATTTCCAAAGCATTTGTAAAGCAGTGTTATCTTGAATTTTTTATCTTGTAAGTCTCAGTGTTTCTGTAATATAGCTAATTGAATATTTGGCTGCTGGAACAACTGATAGACACTTTAGAGAGGGAAAGCCAAATGTAGGCAATAGCCACAAATAGCATAAACTGGGAAACAAGATTTAGCATGACCCCAAAGACAATTGAATGATCCTCAATATGCTACCAGCATACACCAGTTCACTGTCTGGAAACATCGTAACCCACTGTCTCACCCCCCTTATGCACCATGCCACTGCCCCTGTACCCTGCATGCTGTGTCACATGCTCTGCTAGCCATGCTGTGTATTGGGTTACCCCTCACTGTCCCATGTGGGTGCATTATGGCTAGGGACAGACATTCAAAAAGCCTGAGCCTGAATCGATTCTATCTTTGCAGGTTATTCTAAACTGTGTAGATTGAACTGACAAGGAAGTGAATAGACACTCACTTTTGGCTCCAGAAATGCAGCCATATGCCGGCAGTGGCTCAGGTTAGAAGCCGGGAAGCACTAGACCAAGCCCTCCCTTCTCTTTGGCAGTGGCCTGAAGGCTGGAGTAAAGCTGAGTTGGGGAGGAGAGGGGAGGTTGAGCTGAGGTGGGGGCGAAAAAATGACTGCTCTAAACACCCTTAACTGTGGCTCTGTTAGTTCTTTGGTCATTTTCCTCATACTGGGTGCATCTACATGTGAAATTAATG